CAATGGACTATTCCCTCGATAGTCATAGGAAAATCCAAACCGATGAAGCTGTCGATCAATCCGAGGTCTCTTCGATCGTTGCAAATCCTCAGGAGCATCGTCCGCATTCTGCCCATCTTCACCTGTAGACTCTTTCAGTTCGGCCTTCTTCCGGGCCTTCTCTGCCTTCCTTGCAGCTCTCTTATCGGATGACTTCTTTGCCTTGGCCGAATCTCTATCTCTTTTGTCGGCAGCCGCTTTGGCCTTGGCCAGATCACCCTCTGGAACGACCGGATTCCCGTGCTGTTCTAAAGACCCTGACGGCGGGGGATTTTGGGCCTCCTTGGCACCCGGAGATTGAAACATCATTTCTAGATCGACAGATAAATCTTTGAGCGGGCGAGATTTCATCTTGTAAGTCCGGTTCTGGTGTCTAAGTAGAGCAACTGCAATTAGAAAAGTGTCAGCCGACCTTATAATTCACAAGAACAAGCAAAACAAGTTGAACCAACCTCTTGTCCTCTCGATCCTCTCTTCTGTAATCTCCGGCCAGGTGATTGCGCTGATTGCCGCAAATCGTTCGGAAATCTTGTAAATATCGAGGAGATCGTCAACAAATGGAAAATGCCTATTACCTGCAAAATTAAAGATACCGATCAGATAAGTTCACAACATGATCTTAAACAATTCTTTAGGTCGGACGTGTCTCTACCCATGACCTCCGCCCATTTCGTTCGAATCTCGATGTCTCAGTCAATAATGGAATGCTCGTTCACCAGCACGAAGAAATAATAATCCCTCCAATCTTTGACCTTCGATTTGTACCCACCCGTGACTATGTTGAACTGGGTCTTCATGCTCGTATAGTATGATCCTCGGTTCCTTAAATTTTCCTTTGTCCTCCTGGTTTTCGTCATCGCATCAAAAGCAACCCGACTAAGAGGAATGTTATGCCTGGTCGACATCACCAGCATACTAACGATCAAACGGATTGTCGAATGAGAGAATTGCGAGATCGGCATCTCCTTGTGATCGCTAAACTCCAACAGCAGTCTTGGAAGAGGGAACCAGAGGTGAAAATCCCTGAAAAAGCATTCATAGACGCAGAACCATCCCTCCGGAGTGTCCCATGGTCGTTCTGACGGGCTCGGTATCATAAAGATGACTTCAGGGCCGATATCACACTCTTCCTTCAATGTTACCAAAGACTCCATGGTCGATTTTGTTGGCAATACCCCTAGGAGATTATCACAAGTCGGCTTCGGTTTCGGCTCGCCTTTCTTCCTCTTGACCTTTTTAACAGGGGGATTCAAATCAAAACTCCCGAACTGATTCGCTTCATCTTCAGCAATGAGTGTATTCAGCTCGTCGGAGATGTCCATCTCGTTCGATCCGCCCCTCTCGTCCGTCTCATCTCGCAGTTCGGGAATCAGGAACGGTTCCCTCGTCGACGCTTCACCATTCCTCAAAACAGCACCGACCTGACCCGCGTGGAAATGCTCGGCCGCTGCCCTCTGATTTTCCTCTCTGACTTGCTCCTGGAAAGCTCGATCTAACACGGATAACTCGCTAGCATCAGAGGACCGATCTGACGCTACATCGTTCGCGGTCTCTTTTCCCTTTGATCGGCCTCTCACGGCCTGGTCGTCTTTCTACATCTGAAGAAATTCTTCTAGAGAAATACCGATCTCGTCGGCTTTCTCCTTAGCCGATATAACCACTCTCGACTGTGGTTGGCTCTCGCAGATCTTCACACACTTGCTCATATCTAACTATCACGACGTTTTTCGCAAATCAGAGAAATCGAGCGGCTGAGAACGAATGAAACGCGACGGAGGTCTGATCGGAAAAACTTTTAGCTAAAATAAGCAAAGAACAAGGAGAGAGAAGAGCGCAAACCTGATTTCAACAGAGTTTCGCTAGAAGTGCAGAAGTGAAGAAATGAGAGTCGAAGTCCTCTTATTTATAAGAGGGTCTGTACGGTTACCGAGAGTCATCATGAGCTCGGCGACCTTTCATATTTCTTCTACATAGTTTTAATTGGCCCTTCGCCGCCTCCTGCTAGGGTTTGACATGTGTCAACCCTAGTTCTGCATACGCTGGCCTGGGCCTAATCTACATCATTTTTAGGCCGGAACTTTTCGCATCCAAAATCACAATCTGGCCCTCATCACCGCACCGATCAGAAGTCCAGGTAATAATTTCATTTATATTTCTAACTCTTTTGCAGCCGACCAGAATTCACATCGAGCAGCATTTCTTTAAATTCGACAAGCAATGCATCCTCACTTGCCGAACTGGGGGGGGAGGGGGGGGGGGGGGGGGGGGGGGGGGGGGGGGGACTTACTGTTAGAGATGAGATTTGTACCGTCTCTAACAAGCCCGATATGAATTCTAGTCGGCCCGTCTAACAAGTTCCAGGTCGGCAACATAAATGGAAATCTTCCATTTGTTGACGATCCGGGGAAAAAGGAAACTCCTTACCGACAAGAGTTTCCTATTCCAAACAGGTTGAAGACCGACCTGATCGACTATAAATGCAGGAAGTCTTCGACTCCTCAAACTATCCAAAAATCATCGATCAAGACCTAGAGCAAAATTTAAGCGATCAGATTGTTCTAGTTCTTGATTTATTTCCTTAAACAGTTTTAGGTCGGCGTTCTTATTCCGACGACCTAAACACCGTTGTATTCAACTGAGCTCCGGCTTCTTCTAATAAAAAGATCTCTTTGAAACCCTCGAACCCTAGTTCTTTCGTAGATCAAACTTGAGTTTTTACAAAATTCTTATTATAATTTTTATTGAAAAGGAAAATTACTAATGGATTATCTAATGTACTATATTTATCTTCATGGTAAAGTGAAATCTTATATTTTAATTTTTTTTAGAGTTTTTTATAATTTTTGTTAATATTTAATTTAATTTTTAATTTAAAATTATATATCACAAAACGCAGAAAAATAATTTACCAAAAACAAAAATTACTGAAAAATAATAAATTTTGATTTGATACTAAACGATAGAAATGATTTTCGTGATTATTGATAAAAGCCGAAAACTGTATTGTGTAAAAACTAAAAACATAACGTTTGCAGAAAATATAAGAAAAACTAACCAACACCTAAATATTACAATTTACTTATTTTTAGCTCATACTTACATGCATATATATACATATTTATTTCTTTTATAAAATTCAATCATAACATATTATATATATGTATATATATATATATATTACAAAATATATGCATTGCTATTTTCTTTTAACACATGAAAGCCATACTCGTTTTTTCCACAAATGTGCGTATGAATATAAATATTAATTATGTAAAAGTCAAAGTCCCATACGAATTTGTAGTCCATGAAATTTGTCAACCTCAATTACAGTGCAACTATCTACCTGCTGTTAGGATAAGTAAAAATAGTAAAACCCAATTTGATTTAATTAACAATAGATAAAAAATATATATATATTATGTACGAATAGAATATCATCAATATATAATATTAATCATATATTAAACATATAAATTATTTTATAGCCTATACACAGTGCAGACCGATCACCTAGTATCTATTAAGAACAAAAATATATATTAATTACGTTTGTTAAAGAATTGCAATAGAACATTAAATTAAATAATATCGACGGTACTTGTAAACTACTAATATTACCGTACCCTATGCTGCTGCAGCAGCTTGAGTTAAACCTAAAAAAAGGAACAGTAAAAACCATTAAGACAGATCCAGCTCAAAATACATTTTGACGACCAACAAAGAAAAAATGTCGCAGTGACTTCAAAAAAGGCTATATCCGATCCGATCATCAAAGTTTCAATCTTAAAAAAAAAAAAAAATTGTCCTAACTGGCCTGTTTTTGTTGAGATTACATAGACATCATTACTTCAATGTTAGTTGTGTGCGTTTACAGTTTTCTAAAAATACAAAAATGAATCTTATTGAATTAATAAAAACAGAATACAATTAAAATAAAGTTTTTTATACTAGTGAAGAGAAACAAAACAACATAAAAGCCAATAATAATTTATCCGCTGCAAACAAGATTTCAAGCTCTCTCTCTCTTCTCTCTCTAGTATCTTTCAGAGAGAGGGAGCGATTTTTTGTTTTCCGATCTTCGGATAATCAACTCCGGTTCTTCCGGATCTTGTTTAGGTGGTTGCTTCCGTTTATCGGATGTTTTGTTATGAAATACCCTCTTACATGTATTATGATGCATTCCAGAAGCTTTTATTCAGTCTCTCTTTTTCAGTAGTTATGCTTGATTTATTTCTTTCCGGAGATTTATTATTACTTTCGCCACTGTCAACGGCGGAGTCTCTTTGTGAAAGTTCTAAATCAAGCTTTTGGAGTTTGAATTGGAAGAGATGGAGTAGAGTAGGTAGAGCCGGCGTCTCCTGGAGCAAAGTCTTGTGGAACGGTCCCGCGAATTCTCTGTTTTCACTTTTCCGATGAATTCGTGCGCATCATTTCTGGTGAAAGAGTTGAGCTGCTTAATTAGCTTCCGACGCTTAGCTGTAAGAGGAAGGAGCAGTTTTCAAGAGCTTTGCAGTTTCGCGGTGGTTCTTTGTCTGGAAAGCGTCGGTAGTGGTTGCAACCGGCGGTGGTAGCGGCGCCGCAATAATTCTTCTAGTCGGCAAACACGTGTCTTTTCTTTGCTTTAATTTGCTTCCACGTTGTGTACACGTGTTCTCATTGTAATTAGGTTCACGGGTTCTATTTGGGCCCGATAAGTTTGTAAACTGCTCTACCCTTAATGGGTTCAATATAATCAGAAGACGACAAAAAAAAAAAAAAAATTATCCGCTGCATCATATCAGTACTAATGATCCATCCAAAAGTATATTAAAAAAAAAAAAAAGACGAAACAACAGACGACATTGGCACGTAAAGAGATAAATTTTCTGTCATTCACGGCTCCGGAAACTAGGCATGGAATGCACCTAAGCCTTACACACATTTAATTTGTCCGTTTCGTCACACATCTCAACTCAAAAGCCCCCCTAATGATTACATAACTCACACATATCTTACGTTACGCTTGTAACTACCACCTTTCACTTAGCCTTTTATAACAAGCTCATGCATGGTATAGATCTAATGGGATCACTTCACAAGTAGAGTCCATAGAGAGAGGGAGAAGAGAATTTTTTTTAGAAAGAATGAGTAAGAACGACACAAGAATCCTTACGCAATTTGCAGTTCTTGCAATGGTTTTAACCGCTGCAATAATGGTGCAAGAAGCTACAAGCCTAACCGTTTGTAAGATCGACACAAACGATATGCAGAAATGCCGTCCAGCCGTCACTGGAAACAACCCGCCTCCTCCGGTCAACGACTGTTGCGTAGTGGTCCGAGCCGCTAATTTGGAATGCTTCTGCAAATACAAATTCTATCTTCCATTTCTAGGAATCGACCCATCTAAAGTCGCGGCTCTTGTAGCCAAATGTGGCGTTACAACAGTCCCTCCTTCTTGCCGAGGTAAAAAGTAAAATGAAATATATTTTTCATGTAGGGGCGGGTCTGATAAATTTAGAGTTCCTGTGTTAATTGTGAAAATTTTGGTCCTTTATCAATCATCATACAGTACCAAAATAAAATTACTGCATGGACCTTCAAAATCACTTGTACGACCCTCAAAGTCTCTTAAAATTGGGATTTTAATCTAATGAAAGTTTTAAAATTTAGGCTTTTAAAATTTCGTATAGTTTTTGGGCCCTGAACATTTGCTCCCCTTGCTGTTGCCAAGAGCCGCCCCTATTTTTCATGTGGTCATTGAATTAGTAGGATCTTAGTTCTGTTCGTTTCCTAATCTAGACACAGAGCATTCACGCAGTATTTGGATGCAGTATTCAGATATTGTTCATTTGTGTTTTTGATAACATGTCTAGATATTGTAACTGGATGTAATTATGTTTGTTTGTGTGTCTGTATTTTGTATCTGAATATACTTAACAATAAAATAATTAGAAAAATAGATTTTATGTTACCATTATATATTAATGATTACAATTATATTTACAACTAAATAATTACTAAATTAACTTTTAAATTATTTATAAATTTTTATTTTAATGAAATAACTACATTTGAAAATATATTCATTTGTAAAATTTAAAAATGAAAATGTTATTTATATGTTGAAATTTTTAAAACAAAGTATTTATGAACTTTAAATAATTTAATTTATTTTTTTTAAACAAATAATCATCAACATTGCAAATAATCATACTAAATTTTTAAAAATCAAATGTTTTACATCTTAAAAATCAAATGTTTTAGAAATCAAACAAAGTTAGAGATTGATAAAAACAAGTATTAATATGGAAGTTGACGTCCTCTTGCAATCCTTTCTGTGATCATATCACGTATAGCCTCCATCACTCTATCTCCGGTTTGTATGTATGGAACATGTCCAATGTTATATTCAGCATTTTGCTCCACTTGATCACTATGATGTTCATACTCTTCTACAAATTCCCAATATGCAAAATCACGGTCCTCATGATGAGAATCCCGTATAAAGTTGTGAAATGCCATAGTAGCTGTCACGATCTTCACCCATTTTTTCAGCTTATACTTAGGATGTTTGCGGTCTAGAATCCTCCACTTTGCTTTCCACACTCCAAAGGTTCGCTCAATCACTGAGCGCATGTCTACGGTTAAACAACTCTCTAGTGCTTGTAGGTGGTCCTCCCCGTGTGAAATTAGTAGGATCTTCCTTGAGGTGTTGACGATTAGTAGGATCTTCCTTGAGGTGTTGAATTGCTGCCTTGTACAAAAGAGACCACATTCTTATGGAAGGCAACGAATTTAGAACTCACATTGCCCAAAGTTGACTGCAACTATAATCAGGGTGGCTCTCTATTAGTTTGTTCTTATGGGAGAGTATCTCATCACGTGAGTGAATGCTGTCTCTAATCACCTCTGCTACAGCTTGTCCTGTGTGCCTTTTCCGTTTGGCCCTTGGTGCATTTGAAAACGAGGGAGCATTATGTGACACATCAGTTTCTTGATTAGGAGGAGGGTCATTTTGCCGAGATTCAGATGCATCATTGTGTCCAAATGGTTTTCACCTTGCTGAGCACTCCAACCCTCAGCTCCAGTTATATGAACAGATCCAAAAACTGCTTCCATTAGATCCATGTTTGCCACTGGTTTTTCTTTTATCTTTATAGCTCCAGGCCATTCCTGAAAATGTAAAACCAGAATGTACAAATCATAACTCATCTCTATGAACCCATTTTCCTAAAAACTCCACTTTTAAGTGAAAAGAAGAAGATATATATACCTTACATCGCTCTTCCCACCAATCATCACTCATCTCTAGAAACCCATTTGAATCATATCCAAGACCAGTTCGATTGTTAGTCAACCTCTTAAACGATACGTACTGTTTTTTGCAAGTATTAAACTTGTTCCTAAATTTTGGCCATGGATGCTCTTGCCCAAAAGCTTCATGAAACTTGGCCATGATGGTTCGTTTCCCAGCTTCATTTACCACCTGTTTTCTTATATTTCCCTTCAGATTCTCTTCGATTTTTAGTTGAAGAACCATCAGTGTTTGTTCGTCACTCCATAGAAGAGTCTATTCTTCCAAATAACATTTGCAAATACTTAAATTAAAAGCATTCAATTATAATATGGGTTAGAGTGAAAGATACTTACATCACTACCAGGCACAGACGTCATTGTTTTCTCACTTTTTGAATGCAAAATCTGTCAAAAAAACATCAAACACTTAACATTTATCAAAACAACTAAACCAAGGAAGGAAGAAGACAGATTACAAGCTCGACTAAGCTTACCTTAGCTCGACTACAAGCTCCTCTGCTTCAGTGATGAATGCATCTGCTCCAAACCAAACAGAGACAACAATGAAGAGAGAAACATAAAGTTTTGAGGAGCTTGGCTTTTTAAAAACAAGTTTTCAGCATGAGAGAAATATATAGTTTTGCTAACGCCGAATCAGCTAACAACAAAAAACCCAGAATAATCTATGAAGCTTATGAATAGTCTGTGTTAAAAACCAAACTCTTTACGCATAGAACACATATCAAGTTATGAGAAACACTAACCTTTGCACCATATGTATCATCGAGCTTATTCGTCGGAGTTTCAAGCCTCTTCGACGGAGAATCAAGCTTATTTGTAAAGAATCGACCTTCTTTGCCGGAGAATCAAACTTAGTCGGCTGTAAATCAAGAGAAACAAGCTTCGTCCCCTGAATATCGATACGAGAGGTGAAGAACGAGATTTGGGGATTTAGGGTTAGAGATTATCGATTTATGGATTTATTATTTTAGATAAATTGATGTGTAATTTTTTGAATTTGATAAAGTTATTTTAGATTTTTATATTTTTTGGATGAACTTTATGCATCCAAACTCTACTTTTAATTGCATCTAAAATATCTGATTTTTTTAGATGAGTTTAGAATTTGTATCTAGTTACTGTATCCAGCTCATGAGGTTAATTGTAACAAAACGAACAATATCTGGATGCTGCGTCTAGATTAGGAAACGAACAGCATTCTTGAAAGTAAAAGTGTCTTACGTTTTGTCTTCTCGCAGCTTGAAGAATTGAGCTCGAGACCGGCCTCTATGGTGCTGCGGATGTTTGCTGGATCTTGTCCTGCATCTGATCTGAAGTATTTTTTCGTGTTCTGATCCAAATAAATCACAAAACTTATAATGATTTTCGATTCACCTTATGTATACAGAAGAGCCGTGTCCTATACGTTAATAAAAAACGGTAATGTACTAGTGTTTTTTTTCTTGACTATCGTAAAATATAAATCAATCATGCCATTTCCCCGTGGAGAACCAAACAGAAAAAAAAAAAGTGCGAAAAAAACAGAGAAACGTTCACTTGTCATGATTATGAACAGTATAACTCTGGGTTTTGAAATCTGATTGCTCGCTTGTGGTAAAAGAAAATAGGCAACTTTCTCTATTAGCAGTAGATAGTTCTTCACAGGACTTTTTTTACCTCATGTATCTGCTGTTGTGACGTACATTTCATTGCATCATGAGGAACCAGAGATCTGTTGCTACATGACCATAAGACAACTTTACACAGAAATTGTGACTTTTCTTTTGGGTATAAATCTATATAGACAAGGACAAAACAATATACAAAGACCAAAACCTAATTGGGCCACGTAATGGAGAAAATTCTTTCATTCATTAACCGCCACCGGAGACTTAATTATGCATGCAATGCAACTAAGGTCTCCCACATTTGTCCGTTTGCTTACGAACTTTCAACACAAAAGACCCGTGACGTGAGTGACGGTTTTACTATCACTTAACATTAATATTGCTATATAATAAGCTCATTAGGTTTATGAGATTCACAACAGACTCAAGAGAGATATAGAGTAATCAAAAAAAAAAGAGAGAGAGAATGGGTAAGAACAACATAAGAATCCTCATGCAATTCACAGCTCTTGCGATGGTTTTAACCGCCGCGATGATGGTTGAAAAAGCTAAGAGCATTCCTGTATGTAACATCGACACAAACGACCTGGAGAAATGCCGTGGAGCTGTCACCGGAAACAGCCCGCCACCTCCAGGACCAGACTGCTGCGCGGTGGTCAAAGCCGCTAATCTAGAATGTCTCTGCCCGTACCTCTCCATTTCCAGGATCGACCCATCTAAAATCAAGGCCGTTCTGGCCAGTTGTGGCGCTAAGAATCCCTCTTGTTTGCCAAGGTAAAATGCAAAGTACACCATGAAAAATATTGGAAACTGGTTTGAGTAAAGAGAGAAAGTCTTACGTTTCTTTTTTTGTTGTTGTTTCTTTCTATAACACGTAGATCGTAGAACTGAAGCTGGTCACAGTCCGGCCTGTCGCAGACTTTTGCCTCGACCATGGAAACTCTCTTAAGTTATGATATGTCTTTTGGTGTTCTGATTCGAATAAATCACCAACTTTGGAATTATTTTTCTGTCACTATATATAAAGAACCATGTTCTTCTATACATTAGTTAATGAAAACAATAAATTGCTGGTTTAATTGGCTAAATATACTGTGTTCTTCTTTCTTGAATATATCCAAAAACTTACTCGTTCATGCCTCTTCCATGGAAAGAACCCAATTCATAAAACTGCAAACAAAAGCAATATAGAAATTACATGGTTATAGGGTTTTTAAGGTAACTGCTTCGTATCATTAAGCTGTTTGAACATATAGAAGTATAAATTTCCCCAATAAAACACATCATCGGAAATACATGCCTGCAGAATAGAGATGAATTGTCAGACAAAAACATTTCCTGCGAAAGAGACTGGAAGAAACAAACAAATTCTGGAACATGTCACGTTATACAATGCGAATATCAACAAAACGCCACAGAAGAAAACAGTGAGAAATAATAATACTTAATGAAAACATACGACTATCAAATATGATGTTTGACATGTTATTTGGTATAGATTTTACCATTGATGTTATTAATTTAAAAATTACATCTTATCGTCATAAGCTTAATTCATATATAATCAACTAGGTAGTCTCTCACACCTTGTACGGGCAAATCAATTTATAAGATTAATTCATATAATAAATTGTTAGCGGGTATTATTGGTTTATGTATTTAGTTGATTTAATAATCTATATAATCTTTGTTAAATTTATTGTTTTTTAAATCTAACATATTGGTTTTACAAAATCATAGATTTAACTTTAAGTTTGAGTCTTTGTATTTTTAATATGAGAATCCTCCCAAATCCACAAAATCCTCTTTAAATCAAATCCATGATTTTAAAATCATAAATAAATAATCTAGAATTTAAATACAGATTTTAAAATCATAGAACCAATAACACTGAATTTAAATATGAATTTTAAAATCATATAACCAATAACACTGAATTTGATTGATTTTTCTAAATCTATTATTAAGAAATTATGTAATTATATAGTTAAATATGGATGATTATAATAATATGTATGTATGTCATATATCATAATATCATATATCATTGAGCTTGATAATTTGCCTACAATTTGGTTTGGTCTATAGAGTTTATAGATTTAGCAAATGAAATATAGCTAGGAAAAGAGAAAACGCTCTTAGGCCCGAGTCTCTATGCGCTGACTTTAATTTACGGTAGCAAGGCTCGAGGAACACCCCATATGCTTTCTATCCCAAAATGGAAAGTCAGAGTATGCTTCCTAGTCTCCAACAGTCTCCCAAGCGCTGACACTCGGTCTTTTTTGAGCGTATCACGAGCTCGTAATTCCTCAGCTCTACCAAAACACCAAATCTCAGCGCAACTTCCGACCACCATACTCTCCGGCGACCAGCATTTACCGAGTTACTAACGTATTGTTTCGCTTTGAACTTCGTACTCTTCCGCACAAACTCTACAACCATACTACTGCCTGAGGGCAGATCTCCATGGGCTACCACATCCTGCAATAATTACCAAACAAGCACCTCCAACTCGAAACATCATGGCAAGAAGATACACAAGCATAGAGAAGGAGAAATGGATAACAGGCACTAACAAATCCATAAGACGTTCCCCAGTTCGCATCCCAGAAAGTGATGTTTCAGCACGCATATAAGAGAATAAACTCACACTCATTGGATGGGTCACCAACGCAGCTATTCAAAGACCCTGGGCGGTTGTGGACTACCTGATCCAGTACTAGAATCTGGAGAACACAGTGACAGGACGAGATCTGGGTCCAGAGAGATTTTTCTTTCGCTTCACCACCGAGGAAGATCTACTACTAGTTCTAAAAAAAGGACCTTACCACTACAAGAAATGGATGTTAATCCTCCAGCGGTGGGAACCCATCGTCTCAGATCTCTTTCCAGCCACCATCACCTTCTGGATCAAAGTACATGGAATACATCTACACTACTGGTCCGACCAAACTCTAAGGACCATCCGCAAGGAGTTGGGACACGTGATGGATAAGGACGTTGAGGAAGGCAGAATCTGGGTCCCAGTTAATGGTCTGCAACCTCTGGAGATGTCCATTCCCATCAGAATCCCTACTGGAGAAGTCATCACCGTGGACTTGGAGTACGAGAAACTTGAAAAGCATTGCTTCTCCTGTTTTTCCCTACAGCACGAACTAAGGGACTGCCATACGAGAAACCCACAAAGAGATGCAGCAGACATGGGGATAAACCAACAAAAAACCCTCATCAACATCGATGCAGACAAAAAGAGGAAAGAAAATCTGAGAGCAAACAGAGAGCACATAACAGTTTACCTCAACATCCATAATAAAAGAACCCCGGACAGTGCAAGAGATGGCCTCTCAAGACAGACCGGATACACAAAGGAAAAATACCCGCCTACGGCTCACCCCAGAACTGAACAGGCCCCAGACCGGAACCATTACTCCCGTCAGCACACCCGTAGCATCCCAAACCGCTACAGATCCCCACCTAGATGGGAAAAGCGACAGGAAAACAGGTAGAGCACCCACAGATCCGAGTCTCCACCTGCACAAGAATACGGAGGGCGTCAATCTTCTCAACAGTCAAACAAAACATCAGCACAATACTCCACAGAAAGTGCCGTAAGAGAAGAGAGGCAAAGAACTCACATAAAGATTTAGCTCTCACACACCATCACCAAATCCACCAAGAGAAGCAATCACTAGATCAAGAAGCCACGAGAGAGAAGAAGTCTCCAGCCAAGCAAGAGCTCGGGGTTCTGCTCTAGATAGAATAGCCCCGCCGATAAACAACAACCCACCCATCAGCGGCTCAGACCACCTACAAGAAGTAGAGATTCAATATGAAGTTGGGAATACTCAAACAACTGTTCAGCAAGGACAACTCATTACTCCGGTTATGGAGACTCGTACACCCGCAGCACTACGGTTGGGTCCCGCTCCTCCAGAAACTCAAAAGAGGAAGAGCCAACGGAAAATCCCAATAGCGTCGTCTTCAAGACCTGCAGGGAAACGCAAAATCAAACCAACCCTGAAAAAAAGAGGTTCTAGTAACTCACCCAACATTATAAAAGAAAAAAAGCGAGTTACTGCCAGAGGTGCCAATCCACCAAAGAAGCGAACCCAAACAGGAACAAACCAACGTGAACAAGATTCAAATCTCGCAGACTCAAACCGGGCAGAATCTAGGGAAACCACCACCAACAATGCGCACATAGAGGAACGAGGTTCACAGGACTTGACAAACCACCAAGTTACAGCAGACAACGGGGATTTTCGGTCCCGTCGAGATCTGCTTCCTTAGTCATTGCGAGCTGAAACTGCCAAGGGCTGGAGAACTCCTTGACAGTCCATAGAATCCGGGAAGTCCATAAACATCAAAAACTGGATATATTGTTCTTCATGGAGACCAAACAACAAGATAACTTCATCCTGGAAAAAGTCCAAGGAATGGGGTTCACAAATTCCTTCTTCTGCCCTCCACAAGGAGCTAGTGGAGGACTAGCGCTGCTCTGGAAGGATGAAGTAAAGCTTGAAGTGCTAGCATCTTCTCCTAATTTCATCGACACAAAGCTAGAACCCACACTTCCATCCATGTACGTCACTTTTATCTATGGTGCTCCGCAAAAGGAACTCCGCTTTCTGGAACCACATCTCGCTCATTGGACATATGCGCGATGAAGCTTAGCTTCTAACTGGAGACTTCAACGAGATCTTGAAAAACTCAGAAAAGAAAGGGGGTCCCCCGAGGTGTGAGAGATCTTTCTTAAACTTCAGAAGCTTTGTATCTCAAAATGGGTTATAGGACCTGAAGCATTCGGGAAATCCTCTCTCTTAGCGGGGCACTAGATACCAACATTTCATTTGATCCAGGTTAGACAGGGCAATGGCGAATACGGCATGGACAGAAATGTTTCCAGCAGGAAGCAGCGAATATCTGCGCTTTGAGGGATCAGATCATCGACCGTTAATCACTTTCCTAGACAACAAAAGAAGACGAAGAAAAGGAGTGTTTAGATACGATAGATCGCTCAAAGATAAAGAGGGCTTCAGATAACTTATCTCAACAGCCTGGGTGACACCTGAGCAGGCAGATGTTACCACCAAAACCAACTTCTGTTGGCGAGAAATCATACGGTGGACAAAGAAACAAAACGCCAACGCAGCGAAACAAATAAAGAAACTGCAAGACGACCTGGAAAAAGCCCTTTCAGCAGACCCCCCTCCCCCCCATAGCAGACCTCATCTCATCGTTAACGGCATCACTGGGAAAAGCTTTCAAAGAGGAAGAGCTCTTTTGGAAACAAAGAAGCTGAGTGTTATGGTTAAGAGGAGGGGATCACAATTCGGCTTATTTCCACGCAGTTACAAGAGGAAGGCGAGCCAAAAACAGACTTACAGTGATTGAAGATGAACAAGGAGTAGTCCACAAGGAAGAAAACCACATCGCAAAAGTCTTCGAAAGCTATTTCCAACAGCTCTTCACAGCTTCAAATCAATCAAACCTCTCGGTGGTTGCAGATGTGATTAATCCCTGTATCACCAATGAGATGAATGAGTTACTATGTACCATTCCCTCTCTCGAGGAGATAAAGGAAGCAGTTTTTGACATAAATGGGGAAAATGCCCCGAGCCCAGATGGATTTTCAGCAAGCTTTTACCAAAGATATAAGCAAAGAAATAAGGCAATTTTTCGAGTCAGACGTCCTGCCTAAACATTACACATCTCTGTCTACTTCCTAAAGGAACTGCATCAAAGAGAACCTCAGATTACAGGCCTATCGCGCTATGTAACGTCTACTATAAAATAGTAGCAAAGATACTTACGAAGAGGGTCCAGCCAATCCTAAGCAGCATCATCTTCGAACACCAATCCGCCTTTATCAAAGGAAGAGCCATCACTGATAACGTGCTCATCACACACGAGATTCTACACTTTTTGCGAACCTCCGAGGCAAAGATCCACTGCTCCATGGCTGTCAAAACCGACATGAGCAAATCCTACGATAGGTTAGAATGGGGCTTTCTTAAAGCAGTACTCGAACAGATGGGATTTCAGCAGAAATGGATAAAATGGATAATGGAATGTGTCACAACGGTTACTTACTCCTATCTGATAAACGGAAGCCCAATGAGACTCGTAAAACCGACAAGGGGACTCCAGCAAGGGGATCCGCAGTCGTCGTTCCTCTTCATCATCTGTAAAGAAGTCCTCTCGGGCCTATGCAAGAAAGCGCAAGCTTCAGGAGACCTCACAGGAGTAAGAGTGGCTCGTAATAGTCTCCCAGTAAACCACTTATTGTTTGCTGATGATACTATGTTCTTTAGCAAATCCAATGAGACAAACTGCAACGCTCTTTTCCAAATCCTCCACCAGTATGAACAGGCGTCTGGTCAAAGCATCAATTTAGAGAAATCTACAATTACCTTTTCAGCAAAAACCCCACCGGAAGCAAAACGGAGAATCAAAAGATCTCTAAACATCCAGAAAGAAGAAGGATTGGGAAATACCTGGGCCTCCCGGAGCACTTTGGTAGACGCAAAAGGGACATATTCACCGCTCTAGTCAACAAGATTCAACAGAAGGTGCATAGCTGGACTTCAAATTTCTTGACTACATCCGGGAAATAAGTACTACTTCAGTCTGTCCTCTCGGCAATACCCACACACTCAGTGCTCTGCTTCAAACTCCCACTATCCCTATGCAGACGAATTCAATCAGTATTCACGTGATTCTTTTGGGACACAAAACCAGACCAACGAAAGATCTGATGGGTCGCCTGGGATAAACTCACCTTATCTAAGAAATACGGAGGACTGGATTTCAAAGACATCGAGACCTACAACGATGCCTTACTGGCAAAGCTTAGCTGGCGCCTTCTTCACCATTCGGACTCCCTTCTTGGTAAGGTTCTACTGGGAAAATACTGCCATAATTCCTCCTGTATGGAGTGTTCGTCAGTTTCAAACCCATCCCATGGGTGGAAATGCATTCTCGCAGGACAAGAGGTAATAAAACTCGGGACCAGCTGGACTACGGGAACAGGAGCAGAGATTAGTGTATGGCGCCATCCGTGGATCTCATCGAAGACCCCAACAATTCCATATGGTCCCCCTACACACGTTGCAGAAAATCTCAAAGTCAAGGACCTGTTATGCCATGAAACAAACGAATGGAACCTGGAAGCAATCCGACAACACTTACTTCAATATGAGGGCCAAATCCGACAAATCATCACGGGGAGGTCAAAACCTGATGACCGTCTCGTATGGCTACCAGAAAAATCAGGGGAATATGCGGTGAAATCTGGTTATAATCTGAAACAGACGACACCGAAGACCCACACCGGAGAAATATTTAACTGGAAAGCCAACATATGGAGCCTCCAAATTTCCCCCAAGATAAAATCTTTTCTCTGGAAGGTGATGCGAGAAGCTCTCCCAGTAGGAACGGCGCTGGCCACAAGAGGTCTAGTGAACACTCTACCATGCAAACGATGCAATGCCCTAGAATCGACGACCCACATGCTATGGACCTGCCCCTTCGCTCGCGGAATTTGGACCATCGCACCAATCACGAATCTCCCCGATTTGGATCAACCGAATCTCTCCGCGAAACAACTTCTCCAGCTTGCCAAGCGATCGACCACTCTCCCACATGTGGGATTGACCTCGACACCGCTGCATCCATGGCTGCTCTATAGTATTTGGACTACCAGGAATCAGCTGATCTTCGAGGACCGTTCATCTTCACAAGACGACGTTGTCTCAAGAGCCGTTAAACAGGCCAAAGATTGGCAACAAGCCCAACATGAACATCCGTTGGGCCAGACTAGAAAAGCCCATCAGCAGCCAAAACCAAGCCCTGGAACTTATCAATGTTACATAGATGGAGCTTGGCAAGCCCATTCGCTCTCGGCCGGCATGGGCTGGATCCTAAAAGACGACGAAGGAAGGCCGATTACCCAAGGGTCTGCATCAAGACCTTATGTCCCTTCCGTCATAGCAGCTGAAGCTCTTGCTATTCGAGAAGCTCTCACAGCGAATCACAAATGACGGATTCCTGAGAATCCAAGTGAACTCGGACTCCCAAGTCCTCATTTCCCTGATCAAATCCAAAGAACTTGCCTGAAATCGCAGGGATCCTTTCGGATATTCAGGATACTATCCCTCTGTTTTCTTGCATTTCTTTTAAAGCGATTGCCATAAAGGATAATGCTTCTGCAGACATCCTAGCAAAAGCTGCTTTGTCAGATTTATGTGTATCCTCCTCTAATGGAGTGTAAACTAGTTTTAAGTTTAATGAAGTTTGTGTTCGACCAAAAAAAAGAAATATAGCTAGGAAACTGAATATGTAAACCCATATATAGTCATTATCGCTCTCATAACTGAATATGCAACCCCAAATAAATTGTTGCTCCCACTCAGACGACGGAGCAAACTGAATATGTAAGCCCCATATATAGTCCATATGAACAACATATCTCATTGATAGGTCCGACAAGTGAAAAATATTATTACCTGTGGAATCATCTTTTTGAGCATCATAATAAAAATCAATAGGCTCAAAATTTGTTCTTTTACTAACATCAGAAATAATAAAGATGAATTTCAATTTGTTTGACATGAATTTAAAAGAATTTAGTAGAGAGTTAGATATGACACAAAAGACAAAATTGATAGATAGAAACACAAAACATGATATAAAGACCATAATAAGAAAAAGTAATATGAAAATATATATTTATTTTGTGTTTTGGTAAAATGTGATATGAAAATATTGACATGGCTTTAATATCCTCTTATGGCCTACTTCTTTCATCTTTTATGCTTTGTGGCCGTTTTCTTTTCTCCAAATTACAAACCGAAATAAATGAAAACCACGCCCTTGGCTCTAAAATTTAAAAATTAAAACTACGACCACTACAAAATTACAAAATAGAACCTTTCAATTTTATTGATTTGGTCTCTGATAGTAGCTGTTTCCTGTATTTGGAAAAAAATTACCACGCACCCTAGCAAATTAAAGTAAAATATCGATTTCAAATTAAATTCAAATAATACAAACAAACAACAAAGAAATAAAAAGCTTTCAAAACAAAAATCTTAAACTTACAAATCTCCAAGTAGTACATTTTATCCAAATTACTTCTTATTCATTTGCTTCGTCGATTAGCTGACTTACTCTGCTTCTTCTCGATCTTCTAATGTATCTTCATCAAATCAAAACCAACCTTTGACATCATTTGGAAGGTTCTAATAGAATCAAGTCCAATCCTCAAGAAAATTACTTGTGCAAAACTCTAGTCTCTACATACCAAGGGCATTAAGAAGCATCTCCGGCCTTCAGTGGATATATTGTCGCCTCCTAATGTCAATATGTCAATGAATAATAAGAAACCTTTTTAAAAAAGTAGAGAACAGGTTTAAAAGAGATAAAAAAAAAAAATCGGGGCATAGATCCAATGATAATTGGAGAGATTGAAGTGAACAAAATATCAGTTTGATAATTTGGTCATGAATGGAGCTTCCTCGTAGAAGTGATCAATTAAAAACCATAAGGAAATGGATTGTATTTTGTTTAATGAGCTCCTTAATTTACGTCCATAAGGTGGTGTAAAAAGAACATGAGTTCGCCGATAGTGATTTTCCTCTCCCATCTATAGCTAGGATTAATATGAAAAGAGACAAACATGGATAGTAACCAACCATGAATTGGTATACCAATCCGTACAGACCCATGTGTAGAGATTCTTTTTATTAATCATCCCGATAAAAATCCAAACCAACTTGTTTATTGTCATTATGTTTCCTCAAGTAATATATAGATACTTACAAGAGACAGAAAAAAAAATCTTGTATCCATTCAACCAAACCCTTTTTTATTTGTCCTGAACGTCTTAGCCTGCATTTGCATTTCCCCAATAATTCTCATGATTAAAGGGACACTATATCACATCAAAAATGTGTTTAGATTCATAAGTTACCTGCTTCCAACCAAAGTTTCCCATAATCCTCCTTGTTGTAACTTCCAGATCCAAATGAATACTCTAATACTTCCGTTGTCTGATTGCCCACAACCACCAATAATCCATTTAATTATCTGGAAACAAATGATAATGTTCAACATCAATATCAAGTTGTAAAAACGGGGGAAAAGGATACAATGCTACCTTTTCTGAAAATTAGTCCATCTTCGTGTTCTCTTTAGTATTCTTCATGTTTAGTGAACACAGCCTGTTTTTCTTCTTCATGTCAGTTTTCGTCTTCTTCATTATGAATTGTTCTTCTTTGTCTTATTTTCCGTCTTTGCTTTTTTCTTTTCCGATGAAAATCTATGTCTCTGTCTTTGGCTGTCTTTCTTCTATAATCTTCTTTGTTCTTCGTGCTCTTATTTCTTCATGAAACAAATATTCGACGGTAAATTCGTACAATTTATCTTGTCTTACGAATAATCTATCTTAATGATCCTCTCCATATAACAAAAACAAAAACCATAATGCTAGGGAAGAGAGGTTAATGGAGTCATAATTTTTTTTTTGTCTTTTTCTACTCGACTCCTTTTGATTTATAAAAGAAGGTAAAGATATTATAGATCCAAACCTTGGAAAGCACGGTTAGGAACGTTGTTTTCATCTCGAAGGCTGAATTGGTGTTACACATTCTTCTTTGGTTTCTTTTTCCAGTTAGAAGAAAGGTGCTCATGATCGGCGGTCAAAAGGCAGAAGTTAAAAAAAAAGAGACTTACGACTGCTAGGATTTAATTAGGGTTACTTAAAAATCTTTATGATAATATTTAGGGTTTGCCACCAACAAATTATGTTATTATTACTATTTACTTATTTATTTTTAAAGATAATGGAAAAAAGATTAAAAAGCAATACCTCTCCTGCAAAGTGAACTTACGACTATCACCAAAACGATGAAACTTAATCAATTATCTTCTCTTGCAAGTTACCTGCAGCACAACAAAAATCCAAAAGACAAAATCAAAACCGCAAGAAACAAAACATAATGTATGAAACAAAAACTAAACCCTAATATATGACATACACGTTAATAATCAATAAATAAATCTAAACAGTTGTTTAGATGAATGTGATATTTGCGAATATATATAGCTATTAAAATTCTAGGGTTTTCGTTTTGTAATATAGTTTTGAGAGGCAGTCGACTTTTTCAAATGGTCCATTGAATACAAATTTCAAAAAGCTCATCTGATACATCATATGAGAATCGATATAAAATTTAAATTACTATAATCGATTTTTAAGTACGAACCAAACCAAACCAGTTAATTTAAAATTCGAATATTTCTACCAGAAATAGAAGGCACTAACCTCTGAAGATTTGTGGTGCGTTTCTAACTTCGCAAATACTATATTAGATATTTTCATTGGAAAAAAAAAATAATACATTTGAGAAACAAGGACAAAATAACGTAAAATCAAATGAAAAGATCAAAGATCAAAGATCAAACAGTGTCACTTGCTTTCTATAATTCTCCAGCGTGGCAGGGCATTTACGTAACTCATCTATTAGTTGGGCTTAGTAATAAATGGGCTTTTAACAAATCAGCCCCCGCTTTAGTTGAATGATTATTGTATTACGTCCCACATCGGAAGTAGTAGTCGAGCTAATACAAATTATTTAGATATAAAAGGAAGGGGACTTCGTTTGTTGAAAGTTATCTTTGCGCTTGGGGCAATGACGCAGCTAATGAGGTACTAACCGAGGCGCGTCTATTGCTGGTTGAAAACTATTTCCAAACCCCCTCCTGGGCCTAAGCTTGTCTTGGGCCTTCGAGAATTTCTGGAAGGGCTCCCTTCGGGGTAAAGCCCTACAATTATCTAGTTCAATATTTTGCTAAGAAAACTTATGGGATCGGTATATAGTGGTCGACATAAGTAAATTGATTTAGCAAATTTACCTTATTGGTATAGGTAAAACCGTTTAAAATTGACCCAGATGCTTGTGAAACCAAACCGGATGTCAATCTTTTGAAACCAAACCGGAATTCAATTTTAATTTATGAAAAGAGAAACAAAAGCTCATAATTATCACAACTCTTTCTCATTGGTCCGTTTGCAATTTGCAGACATTTCAACTCAAAAAGACCAGTTCACTAGGAAAGACTTAAGAGTCAACGACCCAAATCACACGGTCTTTCTAGCGTTGACTTAGAATCAACTTGTTATATCAAAGCTCACAAGATTTAAGGGTTCCAAAGTAGTGAGAACTTTAGAGTCAAGAGAGAGGAAGATCAAAGAGAGAATGGATAAGAACAATACAAGAACCCTTGTGAAAAGAGCAGCTCTTGCAATGGTTTTAGCCGCCCTGGTGTTGATGGAAGAACGTACGGTTCCCGTATGTAACATCGACACAACCAGCTTAGAGAAATGTCGTCCAGCCGTCACCGGAAACAACCCACCGCCTCCAGGTAACAAATGCTGCAGAGTCCTCCAAGTTGCTAATCTCGAATGCATCTGCAGCTTCAAGTCGTATCTCCCCGTTTTAGCGACGACTAACCCATCTAAACTCGAGGCCCTTCTGACAAAGTGTGGCGTTACAACAATCCCTCCTGCTTGCCTAGGTAAAATCAAAGTACCATAGATATATTAAAAAAAAAAACACAAGCTTAGTAAGACTTGGATGTTAAGTAAAAGAAACAGAGTCTTACGTTTTATTTTGCTCATCGCTTGAGACAAACCGCTCTATATATACAACAGACTTTGCTCGATTTGAGTGTCTGAATTATACAATATATCTTCTGATTTTAAATAAATCACAATCTTGCAATGATCGTTGATCACCTTGTGTGTATAGAAAGAACCATGTTCTATACATTTAAAGAAAACGATCAAAATACTTGGTTTTTCACTACATCGACTATCCCAAAAAAAACTAACTCAATAACTCATCATGCCTTCACTGCGGAGAACCTATAAATCATAAACTGCAAAATGAAAAAGAAAAAAAACAAAGAATCATTCGCTTACATGATGATTACATAATTCAGAACTCTGGCTTTGAAATCTGAGTAGTAGTGACGGAAGGGTATACCTAGCATTCCGGTTGATTTTCTCGGCGAGGTCCACCGAAGATAGGCCTCATGTATGTATCGTCAAACTTTCTCCAGTAGCGGTGGATAGTGTAAACAGGTTGTTCCATCAGAAGGGAGATACTATCTTTAGCTATGTTGAGGTTGGTGGAAGCAGACTCGTCAAAGGAAAGAAGAGGAAGCGTCGCATCTTCCTTCGGAGAACCTGGCGCAGAGTGTTTACCTTTATCTCCGGTGTTGTGATTTGCATCATCATGAGGAGGAAGCAGATAGTTCACTAGTGGCTTCGTGAGGAAACCAAAGACCTGTTTCGTTGCATGTCATGAAAGACAGTCTTTTGATTCTCCAAGCCATATACTAAAGACATAGTGTTTGTTTTACCAGTGTAGTAAAGAGTACAACGATAGTGGTGTTGGTGACCATTGCAGCATTCACAGGATCCAATGTAACACCCGAGTATGTAAACTGGGCACATCAACACATACATACACCGAAATGAGATCTAATGAAAAATTAATATCACAAATTTAAATGTAAAAAAGTATTTTCCAAAGAGCAAAAACCTGCTTGAAAGCCAGAGCAATTGAGACAGCACCTCTCATAAGCCCCGCCCACCAAATAATCACCTATAAAGTACATACAGCAACTTTGTTCCTCTAAGACCATTAGATTTAAGATTTTTTCGTAGAGATGTAATGTTTCTGATAATGTAACTAAACCTGGTGCTTGAATGTGATAGTCTCGCTTCTTTCAGTGTTTCTATTCATGAAATTGGTTAAGACAGAGAGTGGAAACACAAACGCTGCTCGTCCAAGCAATACTAATGCGGTTATGACAGTTGAGACACCCAAAGTACCACCAACGCTGCAAGAAGAACATTGATGTTAGTATGTTGTGTATTGTTTGTTTTGTCACTTAAGCTGCTATTTGGATACGAGTATATATGTATACCTTAAGCTGCTTGTCTTCCACTTTGTAAGGTCAAGAGCATCTGTTCCAACATATAGAAATATGAATGTCTCCGCAATAAAGGACAACATCGCAAACACATGCCTGCAGAAAAGAGATTGGACAGTCAGACAAAACCATTTCCTACTACTGAGACCTGAGAGAGAAAACGAATAATTGTCTGAGACAATGCCTTGAAGTGATTCTTGAACTCTCTGTCACGTTATACGATGCATAATGCGACATTAAAACGCCACAGAAGAAAACAGTGAGAATCCCACTTAATGAGAAGAGCTGCAAGAAAGTAACTACATCAAATCAAAACAGAGAAATGCTGCATTTAAATTCCGCATGAAGTAGTATTTGTCTAGATACTACCTCAGCCAACATATATGAAAGGTATGCCATTAGAACCATGATCGCGAGTTCGCGTGTAGTTGAGTGTCTGCAAGCATAGCAAGACCAATATAAGGGCACATCTTAAACTAAAAAACATTTGAGAAGATCAACAATTTTCAAGATTTGGTGTAGCTTTTTTACCTTCCAAAATAAAAGGTTTTAAGGGAGAAAGCCGTTACTAGCCCCACCTGCAAGACAAGAGGACTCATGATATGCTTCAAAAAACAGAGTAAAAATGTAAAGATGGTCAACTCAAATAAACTTACAGCAATTCCGAGGAGTGTGCTAGTGCAGAAGAGGTACAAAAAGTTTCCGAACACACGCAGAGCCGTCCAGCCGTTGAGGCTTTCGAAGTGAATCTTTTGCACTGCGTTGAACAGTACAACCGAGGTTGCATCATTCACTACTCCTTCTCCAAAGACTAAGCTGTATAGCAATGGAGTTTCATCTTGATGGAGAATCTGTAAAAAAGTTAAAGATGCAATGTAAAAAAAAAAAAAAAAACTTTTTATATAAAACAGCTTTAAAAAGAAGGAATCTTAGGACAGATAAATCAAGAACCTGTAGAGTGCAAACAGTATCAGTTGACGAGAAAATCGTTCCGATGGCTGAGTCAAGACAAAGAAAACATTCACTCTCAAACTGACAAAGTGATAACATAGTTTGATAACAAAAAAAGAAGATAAGCGAGAGATGTCACCAAGATAGTCTCGAGCACTCAGTCCCTTAAATCCCAACTTTGGAAAAATCCACCAAGTGCCTGGATCAGATTATATAAGAAAACTCAGATATGATTAAATTCGAATCGTGGTCGTCAAGTCATATAAGATTAATTACTGTAACCAAGAAAATTACCAAACGAAATAATGACAGTAGAGATGAAAACACCAATCACACCAAAGGACATGATGGTTAAAAAGTTGTGAAAGAACTTCTTTTTCTTGACCTGGAATCTGCCAGACAAACCAAAAAAAAAAAAAACACAGCTTCACTCAATCTCCATATGGTAGTGCAGAATCTCATCAATAGTAACCGATCCAGAGGAAGCTTACCCAGCATTGAAGATGATTGGAGGAAGAAGGTAAATGAAGAAGAGTTCCTCATCAAACACCAAAATGTGAGAACTCTTTCCTTTACTTATAAGCAATATAATTGTTCCTGACACTGCTCCCTGTTTGCAACAGAACAATCAAATAGTGGCAAAATCGTCCTTAAGGACCATATATTATTATATACCAAAAGGTCTTAACAATTTAAGGGTGTAATTTCTTGCGTTCCAAGAAACGCTAAACGAAACCTATACCAAAAACACTTTATCCACACATTAGGAGATTTTCGTAAGAGCTTTAAGTTTTTCCCGATATGGAAAACTATCTTTCTTTCTCGGATCCAAGAACATAATAACGCCATTAAAAGATAACACGAACTGGCGATGTAGATTCAAACAGAAACCCAAAACTTGAAGGAAGCTTACAACTACTATGGCGGTAATGGATTCATTGACCCATCGATTCTCTTCAAGCAAGTGGCCAATGACTAAACAGAGGCAGAGGATAGCGATGAACACCGAGATAGGTATCACCTGAGGATGCTCCGTGGCTAGTTGTATCGATAAAAACTCCATTAATCCAACACCCATTTTCACGATAAAAATAAAACTAAAAAACCTTCGAGAATTAATTGTGCTTCGTCGATTCTATATCCTTAACACACCAATCGCAAACCAAAGCAGGCACAGAGAACGAGAGAGAGAGATTTGAACTGCGCTAAAGAAGGCGGTGGTTACACAGGTGGCGCTAAATGCACACGTGGCTACGTTCGAGGTCATCAGACTGAGTAAACGCGAGGGTTTTTGGGGTTATTGTGTATTGGGCCTATAGGCCCAAAATCATTATCCCGCGAAATGATATATTAACAACGAAATTAATATAAATAACTCGTCTATATGGCCGAAGAATCATGTTATTAATTGAAAATAGAAATGATAAAATGATTGAAAATATAGCTTAAACAAAATATTGTTCATGTTATATATAAGACTGATATTGTAGACAAATTTAAAGTTTTTAAAGATTAACTTAAAATTGGAAAAATAATCATTATTTATTAGTCATCTCTTAAAAACTCGATCCAATTGCAAGGATAATACAACGGATTCATTACAAAAGTGTTGGTCGGAATTGTGGATTGCAAACAGCCAAGAATGGGTCCACCGTCCATGCACGCGGCACGTGACTGTTTCTTTTGCTCGTATTGGATGATGTCATGAGATGACTCAGTGACATATATCGCCACGTGTGATCATTAAGACCGTATTGTGGGACCTGCCTTAGTTTTCAATCAATCATCCACCGCCATCTCAGCCAAGAAAACCTTTATAAGTTTATCTCTATATATTGCCATTGGCCGAGTAATTATTATCCCTAACATCCATTTTTCATATGTTGATTTTTTTGAATATCAAAATCTTAAATATAAATTATATATATATATATATATTTTATACTATGTTTTGAATATACAACATATGCAGTCAGTATATATAGATAACTTCATTTAATTTTAAAAAGTTAAAAAATGTGTTTTACTCCCTAATTGATGTTTAAGGTTTTTATACGTAACTTAAAAAATTATTTAATTTTTATTTGTTTAAAAACATAAAATATGTTTAATTATCAATTTTAAAATTATTTAACTAATAAAAAAAGAATATATAAAATTTAAATAATTTAAATAATAAAAATATAATTAATTTTTGCATAATATGTGAGAACATCAATTATTTTTGAATAAATTTTTTTTTTAAAACATTTTATGTAAAAAACGGAAGGAATAGTAAATTTTGATTTTTGTGATATCATTTATTTAGGTAGTTTCAATTGGATACGGTTAGGAACTTATTATCTTTTGTGCAAACCAGACCTCCTAATTAAACACAAACTGTTGACAATTGCATGTATTATATAGTAGTAGTGCTGCATGCTTGTCGTTTCGCTGGTTTTGGAAACAAGTAGGTCGTAATAAAGAAACTAGTAGGGTCGTAGTAAATGTAGAACGCAATAACTACATCAAAATACACACATATATGTCCACCAAATTTATAAGAAAACCATTTATAAGAAAACCAAACTTATAAGAAAACCAGAAATATTGGGATCAAAATCAATTATAACTTTCATAACATGTAGAAGAACCAGATACTTTTACAATATAAGTAAGATGTCTAAGTAGTTTAACCAACTTTCTTATGAGTAATGATTTCAAAAAGAAAAAACTCACAAAATAAATCACATGAAATTTCTTTACCAAAAAAAATGATTTGTGATCGCTGGTGGTCGTTGATCGTTTACTCGCAACATTGATTCTGTCTGCAATACATTAATTAGTATCAAGACATAAACATAGATTTTTTTGTTGTAAGAAAACAAAAAATAGTGTTGCCAACTAATATAATTAGATAGTTAATAAAAAACTAATATAATTTGACAATTATTTAGAGAAAATATTTTTCTTCAATAAAAAAAATGTCAAGTGGAAAACTGGAAAGTGTGTAAAAAATATGAAAAGTTGGAAGGTCTTATTGTTTTCCCATTTAAATAATCAACGATCATATAAATTACAGAATCCCACAAACCCAAAAAGCTCTCTCCTCTCTCTCTCTCTCTCTCTCTCTCTCCCACCGAATCTCGTTCGGTCTCCGGGAAGAACGAAGTTGGTGAAGTCGCCGCCGGGATAGACTCAGGTTTACCGATGACATACATGCAAGATAATCCAGCAATGTTCGAGAAACGAGCTTCCAAGTTTCTATTATTCGCTCTCATTGTGATCCAGTTACTAGCTACTCAACTCGTTGCTCAAAGATCTAAAACTCCATGGCAGACACTCAGTGGTAAGTAAGCTCCTTCTATCTTCGATAGATCTCCACTGTGAAATCGGAAAAACAGAAGCAAAACGAATGAAAGCTAGTAACTCGGACTCTTGCTTCCTCTGTCACTCCGATTCGGAAAAAAATCGAAGATTAATTGGGGTTTTCCGAGTTTCCATCCAAAGAAAGATCGAAGCTTTTATTATCTATTTAAAGTTCTGGGAAAAAAATGTGGGGCTTTTGTTTTAAGAGTTTTAGGTTTCTAGGAAAGGTTTCACAGATTCTGTTTCCTAGTTTGATCCATTTCTTGATTTACTACCTTTTGTTAATGTATTTGTAGGAGACGCTCCTCGTGTCGTTGCTCGTGGTGGGTTTTCTGGGTTGTTGCCAGATTCAAGTCTCGATGCTTACAGTTTTGTATCTCCGACAAGTGTGCCTGATGCTATCCTGTGGTGTGATGTGCAACTTACCAAAGATGGAGCTGGGATTTGCTTCCCTGATGTCACAATGTCGAATGCTTCTAATGTCCTAAATGCTTATCCTGACCGGAACACTTCTTACCTGCTTAATGGTGTCCCTACTGTGGATTGGTTCACCATTGATTTCACCTTGAAGGATCTGAGCAGCGTTTTCTGTAAGTTTCAACCTCTTTTTTTGTCCTTTTGCTGCTCAACAGTGATTAAATCCATTGGACTATTGGATTCTAGTTCTAGCAAATATCATATGTTAATTATAGGTTTATATGTATGTCTATGTATATTTTGATTTTGAGTAGAGTTGAAGGCTTGGGAGAAATGTAATTAGCCGTTTAATGTTGTATAAAACTTTCTTTGCTTGTATTTTTTTCTTTCTTACAATTCCTTTTCAACTTTGCAGTGATCAGAGGAATATTATCACGGTCAAATGCATTCGATAACAACCAAAACGTGATTTCAACAGTTCAAAATATAGCTACGCGGTTGAAACCCGCAGGTTTTTGGTTAAATGTTCAGGTAAATTCTTTATGTCACTTGCTATTTTCCTTTTTTTCTCTTTTTTTTGTTATCTCAGCTCAATCTAACACATGGCTGCTCTTTCTTCAGCACGACGCGTTCTACACGCAACACAACCTGAGCATGAGCAGCGTTCTGCTAACACTTTCCAAAACTGTGAATATCGACTTTCTCTCTTCCCCTGAGGTGAACTTCTTTCGGAATGTTGGTGGCCGTTTCGGGAAAAAGGGCCCAAAGTTTGTGTTCCGGTTTCTCGAGAAAGATGATGTTGATGTGTCAACTAATCAAACCTATGGATCTCTCATGGGGAACCTAACTTTCATCAAGACGTTTGCTTCAGGGGTTCTTGTTCCCAAGTCTTACATATGGCCACTCGAAGACCAATACTTGCGCCCTCACACATCCTTTGTTCAAGATGCTCACAAAGCAGGATTAGAGGTATATGCATCAGGTTTTGCAAATGATTTTGATCTTGCATACAACTACAGTTACGATCCATTGGCCGAGTACTTATCTTTCATGGACAATGGAGATTTCTCCGTGGATGGGTTTCTAACTGATTTTCCACTAACAGCGTCTTCGGCTGTTGGTAAGTACTAAGTACATCTCTTCTTCTGTATCACATCTACTTATTACATAGTTGTTCCAAATACAAAGCTTCACACAATGTGTTCTTTTGTAATGATTCAAAGTGAAACCATTTACACTCTTCCTTTAAACTTTTCAGACTGCTTCTCCCATCTTGGAAGTAATGCTAAAACACAAGGTATGTGAGTTATTCATATGCGTTTTAAGTATACTAATGCCATGTCACAGTAAACTAAAAGTAGAAATTTTCATCTCCTATATGGTTTCTTGTCACAGTGGATTTTCTTGTTATATCCAATAATGGAGCAAGTGGAGACTACCCTGGCTGCACAGACTTGGCCTATTCAAAGGCTATCAAAGATGGTGCTGATGTCATCGACTGTTCCCTTCAACTCTCATCGGACGGGATTCCGTTTTGCTCAAGCGCCATTGATCTCGGAGAGAGCACGAACGTTGTCCAAAGCCCTTTCAGAAACCGTTCAGCAACTGTTCCTGAGCTCGGCTCACGTTCTGGAATATACAGCTTTAGTCTGTCGTGGTCTGAGATTCAGACATTGAAACGTAAGTTTTCCCATAAAACTTTCTAAGACCTGTCTTCTTCTCTTTTTTTCTCTAGGCATTGTTGTGCTTGAACACTTAATGCTTCCTATTTGTACAAGATAGCAAGAATGCGTTGTTAGTATATCCGTGTGATGTAATTGAGTAAGCTCCCATTTTGTTTGCAGCTGCTATTGCGAACCCATTCAACCAGTTTTATGACTTGTTTAGGAACCCTAGGGAGAAAAGTTCAGGGAAGCTTGTTTCACTTTCTGATTTCCTGAACTTGGCCAAAAACTCCAGCTCCCTCGTTGGTGTTTTGATCAGCGTTGAGGTAAACTTCTACTATATCACTTATAAACTAATACTTTTTATGAATGATGTTGAGGTTCACGGATTCTAAGTGGTTACAACGACTATGATTTGTTTCCCTTCAGAATGCATCGTACCTTAGAGAGAAGCAAGGTCTCGACGCTGTTAAAGCGGTTCTCGATACACTCAAAGAAGCTGGTTACGGCAACGCGACAGCAACCACCACGAAGGTTATGATTCAGTCGACTAACAGCTCAGTCTTGGTTGAGTTCAAGAAACAGAGCCGGTACGAGACAGTGTACAAGGTGGAAGAGTCGATCCGCGACATCCTCGACTCTGCGATCGAAGACATAAAGAAATTCGCCGATGCTGTTGTCATCAGAAAGACATCAGTCTTCCCCTCCAGCGAAAGCTTCACCACCGGACAAACCAATATAGTGGAGAGGCTGCAGAAGTTTCAGCTCCCGGTTTACGTTGAACTTTTCCGGAACGAGTTTGTTTCTCAGCCATGGGATTTCTTCTCCGACGCAACCGTGGAGATAAACTCGCATGTTACTGGAGGTGGTATCAATGGAACCATCACTGAGTTCCCTCTCACAGCCGCTAGATACAAAAGTAAAGTGAAAATAAGTCTCAAAAGTTTCTCTTTTTGTTTTCATAGCATTTTAGAGTTTTGATTGTTTTTGAATGTTCTTTCTCAGGGAACCGGTGCTTGACCCGCAAAGACCCGCCTCCATACATGATCCCGGTTCAGCCCGGTGGGCTCTTAGCCATCGTGAGTCCTAACGCTTTACCTCCAGCAGAAGCACCAAACCCGGTTATCACAGATGCTGATGTCATTGAACCACCACTACCTCCGGTTACAGCCAAAGCCCCAACCACAAGCCCTGGACCTTTATCGACTGATGAAAAGTCTCCTAACGGGCAAACCCGAGTCGTTCTATCTCTTCTTCTTTCTGCGTTCGCTACGGTTCTTGCCTCTCTTCTACCTCTGTGATCACATTGATCCCATCACTCACGCTGGTAGGATTTATTTGTGAGATTGACTGAGTCCTCTGATTGTTTTTCTTCCTCCTAACAGTTCTTGGGGATTCTTTGCAGTGATGATGAGTTTCTGTTGAGGTTTTGGTTTGTTCATATTCTTCGCTAGCTTTGTAAAATTCTTGGACGTAAATTGGTGTCATGGGGTTTCTTCAAGTGTTGTTGTAACATTATTTACTGTAGTGTTATTTAAAACTCTTGTGTGCTTTGTAGTATTTATGAGACTCGTCTTATTTGAACACAAGTATTTAAAATTAAGAGTTTTCACAATATGTTTCATGTGTTCTTGTAAGCTCTAAGATTTTAAAAATTATGCCATGTTTTCTCATACGCTAGAGATGAGAATCGAAGAGAGTGTTCTCTACTTATGGAGAAGCGAGACTTGGATTGAATCTTATAAATTTTTGTAAACAAACCATTGTGTAGCTGTAAAATGACATGGCCCATTTTTTATATGAACGTGTTTGATGCAACCAAAGTCAACAACACACACATTGGTGACTGCAAAAAAAAGTATTCAGAAAAAGGAAGATCTAGAGAGATGAAGGAAGAACAAAAAAACTTCATTAAGGTTTGGGTTTCAGTAATAATCTCCGCATCTTATTGTTACTACTTATCAACCAGAATTAAATCTGGAGTCTTTCGATTACTCTCTGTTCTTCCCGTTTGTGCTCTGTTTCTTGTACTTCCTCTGTTTTTCTCCTCTGTTCACTTCACTGGTTTCATTGCGTTTTTCCTCTCATTTCTCGGTAATTTCAAGCTCATTTTCTTTGCCTTCGATCAAGGTCCTCTCTTCCCACTTCCGCCAAATCTTTCTTTATTCATCAGCTTCACTTGCTTCCCAATCAAAACTCGAGAAAACCCAAAATTTCAAAATCATTTACCCAAATGGGTTTTCGCCATTAAAGTTGTCATCTTTGATGGGTTGCTATATGTTTATTGTCAATATTATAAACTAAACCCGCCTCCGATTGTGCTGTTGGTTCTCAACTCTCTGCATATTTACTTAGAGACTGAGATCATCTTGATGCTGGTCAAAGTTGTCGTCTTTAGTTCTCTTGGGTGCGACCTCGAGCCACATTCCAACGAACCATACTTAGCCACATCTCTTCAAGACTTCTGGGGTCGCCGTTGGAATCTGATGGTTCCGACGATTCTCCGACCTGCAGTTTACACCCCAATACGACAAGTCGCTGAACGGAAACTGAACTCCGATTGGTCTCAGTTTCTAGCGTATTTGGCCACATTTACAGTTTCCGGCGCAGTTTACCAGCTGATGTTTTTCTATGTAACCCGTGAGTTGCCTACAGGAGAAGTTACTCTGTTCTTTGTCTTTAATGGGGTTTGTACTGCGGCGGAGGTGGCCGTGAAGAAGAGGTTTGCGCGGAGGCGGTGGAGGATGAGTACGGTGGCGTCACGGCTGCTCACGGTCGGGTTTGTGGTTGTGACTGGTGGCTGGCTGTTTTTCCCTCCGCTTGCAAGGAGGGGCATCATCAAGAAAATTGTTAACGAAGCCTTGTTGGTCAATGACCTTGGAGGACTTATTAAATTTGTACATTTAGATTCTATTTAAGTATGAAAAATTACTAAAATTATCCTAAAAGTAATTTTGTATCTCATCTATTACGAAACTAATTTACATGGGAAACTGATAATCTCATCACCATTACGTTTGGAAATTTAAATAGGAGCAAACCGTGAGTGAATTCAAATTTAAAGCCCAAATAAAATAAAATGGGCTTTAGCCTAAAACCCAAATAGATGAGATTAAATGATACTAACTACGTTTCTTTCTCTTGTGTGAACTAAAAAGAAGTCACTGGAAAAAACAATTGAGAATCACAGAATCTCAGATCCTCCGATGAAGCTTTCGGGAACAACGACGAGAGAGAATTTCTGGGGATACTTCTTCGTGATCATTGGCTCCGTTTCCTTCATCGGATTCTTATTTGCAGTCATCGCTGCGAGTTTGTTTCCGCTTTCTCAAAATCCATTAAACCGAACTATGGAGAATGATAGGTACTACTACTGCTTCCTGGTCCCCTTGACTCTACCGGTTATAATGGTCGCTGTCTACTTTCACTGGCTTAGCATGAAGCTCTTCAAGCACGCCTGATATCTTCATTCATCACCAGTTTTGTGAGGATCTATTGTTTCGGATTGTGAGTTCAATTTTTTTTCACTCTCTCTTAACATTCCGGATTCAATTTTTGTATCATGGATCCGTATGCTGATTGGATCTTCCCGTGAAGGAGAAGACTTCAAGAACTTGCATTTGATAAAGTGTTTCAAATTTGATTGTTCAATTTGTTTGATTGATTATTAAGATTAGGATTTTTGTAAGTAAACAGATGAAATATCTGGAATGTATTATTGCATTTTGTGTGACTGTTAATGATCAATAAAAATCTTCTAAATTGCTCAAAGTGAACTTTTTGACTGTTTTTTTATAATGTCTTCAAGTCCCACAATTATTTGGTGTGATACATATGTAATGCTATGTTAATATTTTCTTCCCCAAACAAAGCATCAATTCTAAGAATCTCTTGAAGCAAGACTACTTGTATGTCTCTCAAGGTTTGTAACAAAGGATTATAGTTTTGAACCAGTGGCTAAGTATCTGTCATATGTGGACAATGTAGTTTTGGCTTGCAGTCACATAATTTTGCTGGTTAACGTGGACGGAGATTGTAGAGTCTTTTTGTCATTGATGAGGTCATAACCGGATTGTCCTTGATCTGTTCTGGGATTTTGTAATCAGGATCTCCAAGATTGTCATCGTCATCAGTCAAATCTGTATCAATCCAAGATGTCCACTCGACCTCGCTGTCCGTATCTTCATCCCACGAGAGATCTCTCTTGATGTGCATGTTGTTAACTCTATCAACTAACCCTAAGAGAATCTGGTGGTTTAGCACTTCATAGTCCCTGCATTTCATTCAAGAGTATAAAAGATCAGCTTCTGAGTTTTGGTTTTGTCAAAACATATCCCAATTTTTTTGGGGGTTTGATGGTACCTGAATGTGAAAGCAGCATGAAGAAGCTGAGCTGAAGCAAGAACAGCAAATAAAGACCTGACAATGTTTATAACCCATGCTCGGTGTTCTGCATCATCCACGTAACGTATACTCGCCACTTCTAATGCTAAGGTAACGCACAAACCTGCATCAGCGAAATTGGACCCAAAAAAGAAGCTCTGTTAAACATATGTATTCTATACTTTTATAATTTTATGGTATGAAAAAAAGAGGTGTTGGAAATATGATACTTACCAATGTAAAGCCTTGGCCTTATGATATAAGTTTGTTTTGTACTTGTAAACATGTAGATGACGAAGATGGACAAGAAGTATATGAAGAAAGCTTTTATCACCCGGGACTCGAGAAGCATCGCATTGTGCAAAGCAAATAGCTTATCCAGAGCCACAAACATGCTTGCCTGTTTCGCTTCAAACGCTTCCTGCAAAAAAAAAAAAACTAATTTGTTAGTATTGGTTTTCTACAATCTTGCCTCAGCTGCTTTTAAATATTTTTATAATGGTTTATGTGAATTACCTGAGCTGCCAACATTGATTTTGAATTCTCAAACAGGTGATCATGAACCTGTTGAAGCTGTTCTTGCCGCTTTGCAAGATCTTCCTGTTGCTCCTGACTAAACTCCACAAAACCTTGCAAGGTACTCCTACTCTCTTGCAGTGCCTCACTCTGAAACTGGGTGAGAGACTGAAGATTATCAAGAGCCACAGATTGTCCGTCTAAAAGCTTCTGCTGTTTATCCAACGTAGTGTTAGTCATAGTTCCGATCACATTGGTTGTGTTCTCCAAAGAAGTCATTTTCTGCGACATTTCTTTGCCAAGTGCATTGATCTCCCCTTCGATTTGCTTCGTGTCGTTTCTCAACTTATCTACTCCTTCCTTGACGTTAGCGACCGTATCACCGACCATCTCCATTCCAGCTTTCATCGTTTCTCCCATCTTCTCTTGACCTTCCCTTAGCGCTAACTGTGTCTCCGCAATGCTCTTCTGTTCTTGATAAATCTCTTTGGTTTGCTGAGACACTCCACTCACTTGAGTCTCTATTGTGTTTGTCGTATGAGCCACGTTCTTAACCACAACATCTATTGACCCTACAGATTCATGAATCATGCTCGTGCTCTGCAATAGAAGATCGGATTTACTCTCGAGAATATCCAATTTGTCTTCTGTATTTTGAGCTGAGGTCCTCAAATCATTCACAAGTCTCTCTATTTCATTCTTGAATGCATGACTCCTGCAACCACAAAAAAGTAAATTAAGAATCCATTACACAATCCAAAGGTAAAAAACATAGAAACTGAAAACATGGAAATTTTCTAACTGTAATTGTTGGCAGATGGTGTTGGTCTCAAGCATGAATTCGAGATAGATCTTGTGCTCATGATCATCTAGCTTCTTAAGGCAACTCATCATGGTTGATTTATCATTGCAGGTTGGAAAATCAGGTCTTCCCGATTCTTTCTGGAAGCAATCGCTGAGATGCCAAGCAAATCTCTTCCGCTTTTCTTCTGTGGCAACCATGTTCTTGCAGCCAGACAAGAGGTAACCATATGCATTTTGCCAGCAGCTGTTTGGTCCCACAAGCTTGTTTTTGGCGTCTTCAAGTAATCGAACCGCCTTCTGGTCACTGAAAACTTCTATGGAGAAGTCTGGACTGGATTTGATAGACCGAGAGAAAGAAGAGTCTGTATTTTCTGCAGAGGAAGAAGAAGAAGAAGAGAACCATCCCCAACTGTGGCATATTATTGGAGAATCTAACAGTATGATCAATAGAAAAAGAAGAAATCTTCTGTTAGAATTAGAACGATCCATTTAATCGGGTTTTAAGGTTCTTCTTTACTGTTCCCTTTAGATCGTCTTCTTCTCGAGGAGATGTGTGATTAATTCACCTATAACAACAAAATAAACAGATTGTTACGTTATGAATCTTATATATATTTGATAACTTGGAGCGCAAGCGAAAGGAAACCCATTGAACTTCCCATGCGAAAAATGGTAATTCTTTTTTTTTCCGTTGTATTGTCATTAATAAAGTTAACATATAAAAAGGATTATTAACAAATCTATTTGCAGATTTAAAAAGAAAAAAATCAAACCCATTAAACTCCTCGTTCAGGGGTTAGAGAAATATCTTTCTTTAAAAAAAAATGGAAATATATGTATCTACTCTCCTTTTCGTTTTCTGAGACTTAATACATGCATTTCAAGTCGTATCACAAAAGTTAACCCAAAAACATACAGAAACTAAGAAATAAGATCGAAGAATGGTCTTAAAACACAGGAAAACTACAATCAATTTTTTCACTCTATCGTAACAGAGAACAAGAAAATTACATACATGAAAAGGTTAGATTCAGAGGATATTGGAGAGAAAAAGCAAAAGAAATGAAAAAAATCTAAAAATAGTTATATTACGTTTAAATCCGAGAAAAAGCACTCACATTATCATTACAGAGTGGCAAAACAAATTAAGTACGAAAATAAACACGGAAAGCAATTTTATTTTGTTTTCAAAATGTATAATTGTAGTATCCTAACATGAATGATGAATCTAAACAAACATTTTTGCTTCATGATAAGTTTTCAAAGAGTAACTCAAAATTAAACAGCAATATTTAAGATTAAAGCAAAGGCTTACCAAGACAGAGAAATTACAGATTTTGTGAGTCGGTGATTTGGAGGAAGTGTTGTAATCATCGAGAGAGACAGATATCATAAAGTGAACGTGTTTGACAAAAAGAGAAGGAAACGTTTGGCGAACGTTTGGTTTATTTCCGGTTTGAATTGATTTTGGTTCGGCTTTATTTGGATTTGGTTCAATATATTAGATTAGTCAAAAAAGCAAAATGCCAAACCAACAGAGAGAAAAAGAGAGGATTCATGGAATCTTCTGCTTTAATAAACCGGCACCTTTGCAAAATTCCGATTCTTCTTCACGTCTTTCACCCTGAAGAATTTCTCGGCGAGGCAGCCGGTGAAGATTTCTACTGAATCTTTCACCGGCGTTTGGTTTTTCTTCTGGATCGAGAGAGAAACCCATGGAAATCTAAAAATAGTAACTCCAGTTCCATCGCCTGTAGAGAATCTCTCTCAAATCCGCAAATCAAGGGAACGAGAGAGATGAGTAAGCGGAATCCACGGGTTCTGAAGATATTCCTCTACATGCTACTTCTTAACTCTCTCTTTCTCTGCATCTACTTCGCTTTTCACTCATCGCCGTCCTCGTCCTCCCCGGAGCCACATCCCAATTTCCCACTGCGATTTCACTTCTCCGTGAACAACCAGTCGGCGATTCAGAAGCCGTGGCCGATCTTACCTTCCTACCTTCCGTGGACACCGCCGCAGAAGAATCTACCCTCTGGCTCCTGCGAAGGCTACTTCGGGAATGGATTCACTCGGAGCGTTGACTTCATCAAACCGAGGATTTCCAAAGAAGGAAGCCGGTTTCGATGCTTCTACAGCGAGACGCTACAGAGCTCGATATGCGAGGGAAGGAATCTGAGAATGGTCCCGGATCGGATCGTAGTGTCGAAAGGAGGTGAGAAGCTAACGGAGGTCATGGGGAGGAAAGAGGAGGAGGAGCTCCCGGTGTTCCGCGAAGGCGCGTTTGAGGTGGCGGAAGAGATTTCACGGTCAGGGTTCAAGAGCCACCGCCGTTTCGGCGGAGAAGGCAGCGTGGTTTCTCGGCGGTTGGTGAATGAGGAGATGCTGAATGAATATATTCAAGAAGGGGGCATCGATAGACATACAATGAGGGATTTGGTGGCTTCGATTCGTGCTGTTGGCACCGAAGATTTCGTTTGTGATGAGGTTTGTGCTTCTTACTGTTGTTGTTCTGGTGATTAGAGTAGATTGTGTATTGGTGAAAAGATGCATACTTGGAAAGTTTTTTTTCTTGGATCAAAATCCGTTTGGAACGAATTTGGAATATCAAATCCATTCAATAGATGCAGCAATGAATCACTGACATCAAAATCTTTCTTTGATCGGATTCAGGTTGTGGTTTTAGAGATTCTTGAAACATATGTAAATGTCTTGTTGATTGATGTTTGGATTGCTTTTGCTTGGCCAGTGGGTGGAGGAACCAACTTTGCTGGTCACTCGATTCGAGTATGCGAATCTCTTCCATACCGTGACAGATTGGTACAGTGCTTATGTTTCCTCTAGAGTCACCGGTTTGCCTAATCGACCAAACGTTGTTTTCATGGATGGACACTGCACGGTACGTTCCTCTTGTTGTTCATGATCATGATATTTCTCCCTGAGCAGAGATTTCTCAGTTTCATCTATCTTTAGACTTGCAGTAACTCTTGGTTATAGGATTTGGATTTCTTGCGTTTTATGTAGTTAAAGTTTACTCCACTAATGAATAAAAATGAATCTAGTAGGAGTCGCATGTCCATGTTGTGAACCTTTCTTCCTTTTTGCAGACGCAGCTAGAAGAAACATGGACGGCTTTGTTTTCCGGAATCAGATACGCAAAAAAACTTCAGCAGACCAGTTTGTTTCCGCCACGCGGTTCTTTCACCATTGGGATACGAAACCGTGCTTTTCAAGGGATTGACCGAAGAAGTAGACTGCCACGGAGAATCAGCTCACAATCTGTGGCAAAACCCGGACAACAAAAAAAACGGCGAGGCTCTCAGAGTTTGGCGAAATGATCAGATCAGCCTTCGGGTTTCCAGTCAACAGACACCGCTCATCAGAAAGACCGCCGTCATCATCATCGCCATCTACCTCTGTTCATAACGTTCTCTTTGTTCGCCGTGAAGATTACTTGGCACACCCTCGTCACGGCGGTAAAGTCCAGTCCCGGCTCATCAACGAGGAGGAAGTGTACGAGTCGCTGCACCATTGGGTCGCGTCTGGCTCCACCGGTCTGACGAAATGCGGGATAAACCTTGTGAATGGACTCTTTGCGCATATGTCGATGAAAGATCAAGTCCGCGCCATCCAAGACGCGTCAGTGATCATAGGAGCTCACGGAGCGGGGCTGACTCACATTGTGTCCGCAACACCAAACACGACGATATTTGAGATAGTGAGCGTCGAGTTTCGGAGGCCTCATTTCGAGCTTATAGCAAAGTGGAAAGGTTTGGAGTATCATGCGATGCATCTGGCGAATTCACGGGCGGATCCAACGGCTGTGATTCAGAAGCTACATGAGATAATGAAGAGTCTTGGCTGCTGAAAAAGGGACCCGTGAGCTTTCGAGCCTTAGCGGCCACGGGATGTTGTGATATTATTTGTTTTTTTTTTCAGCTTTAGGTGGGTTCGGTTCATGATGTCAAGTGCTGTAAATTAGCTTTGCTTTTTGACCCGTGAGTTCGAAGCTTAGCGGCCACGGCATGCATTTTGATTTATAATGATTATATAGTCTTTTTTTTTTTTGTGCGATAATGATTATCATATTGGCTCAACTGCTCCATTTCCGGCAAGTTCTAAATCCGAATCAAACTCAAACCCCGTGTTCATTGCAGTCTCATGACCAACCTTGGCCGAATAAAAAGAGCAAAAACACTGACAGATCTCGAAAAATAAAGATAATGACTTGTTTGCACACATGTCGATCGTAGGAGCTCACGGAGCGGGGCTGACTCGCATTGTGTCTGCAACACCAAACACAACGATATTTGCACGGGATGTTTTGATATTGTCTGCTGTAAATTAGGGATTTGGTGGCTTCGATTCGTGCTATTGGCACCCAAGATTTCGTTTGTGAAGAGTTTTGTGCTTCTTATTTTTTGTTCTTCTTGTGATTAAATAAGATTGTGTTATTGGTAAACTCTTCTCACGGAATAAGATTGTTGTTCTCTCACTCTTGGTATGCTAGATCTAAATTAGCTTTTGCTGTTTGACCTCCTAAATTTTGATTAAAAATCGAAATGTAAAGAGTAACTGATAATGTAGGTTTTGATTACTAACATGGTAACAAACCATATGTTTTACATAAAAGCAAGAACAACATCAAAGCAAGAACAACATCAAAGTTGAAAAGCAAGAACAGCATCAAAGCAAGAACAACATCAAAGCTCAGTACTTGAAGTCTGATTCTCCCTTCATCACCCAAGGGAATTTCTCCATAAGAAACTCATTGAGTACCTAGAACAAGAAACAAGAGTTAATAAAAGGATAAAAGGTTTCTTTGTTTCAAAGGGGAAACATCAGTGATTTTTAAGAATCTTACCTTTTCAGTTGGTACTTGATTACGCTTGCACCAAGCAATCGTGATCTTAGGATCCATGAAATTTGAAGAGTCATGGACCTTGGTATGAAACTCAAAACGCATTTGTCTCTCCATCTGGTTGATCTTCAACTTGGTTTGCTGAATCTTCTTCCGCCACCTGCAAATTGTAAAGGGTATGTATAAGTATATCGATAGTGAGAGATGTATAAGTATTTATACACAGAGGATGTGAGATTGAGTCTATCTAGAATTAATAGATAGAACCAAAGTCTATTCTGAGAGATTATCTAAACAGCATTATCCTAACACAAATAATTAAAGTGAGATATATTCAGAAGTAAAGATTTATCTTACGCTTTTGGATTGAGGTTTCTAGCCTTCTCTCCACCTGAACCTGTTTCGAGTTCTTTAAGAACCTCCTAAGGAATTAAAAACAAAACAAAAATTCAGACAAAGGCATAAAATAAGTCGAGTAGAGAACTCCCCAGAATGTGACTCAAAGCTTATATACCTCGAGTTTTTCTAGTTGTGGAGACTTTGAAATAGCACAAAGAAGATTACACACGATCGCAGCCTTATTGGTTGTTTGATACTATAGTAGCACTTTATGATTGACATCAGCATCTCCCATCTCTTCACTCAACTAGAGTTATACAAATCAAAACAGAATATCAAAACAGAATTGTTTTACTCAAAAACCAAATACCCAATGATTTTTAAAACTTAAAATACCATTGTTTCCAAAACAAGAGAAGCATTGTGTGTTCTAAACACCTCAGGTGTGAGACCAGGTAAAAGCTCCTCAAGATATGCCATGAGCTTGCTTGTGAAAGAGATCATCAGTTTTTGTTTTTCCTAGACAAAAAAAAAATGGCAAGTTAGTTATTTGGTTCAGTTACGAGTAAAACATAACCTGTGAAATAAAATAGCAAAATCCAATTCACCATCTTGAAACTCTCCAATAGACTTGTAAACAAGTGGCTCAACTTGGAGGGTGTTAAAGTACCATAAGCTATCTTTGCCCAGAAATTCAAACTATATACATACGAAGAAGGAAAAGGAAAAATCTGTGACAGTATTATTATTACAAATTGTCAAAGTTAAAAGAAGATCTTGATTGTTTATTGATGATTCGAGAGAAAGCAAAATAACAAATCCTAACATTAAGGAATATTTCCTATATCGTAGCATAAATCTTTCGCAAATCAACACACATAATCAAAATTAATTTACCTTTATTTGGTTTGTTGGGATACACTCCACATGCCCTACTTTGATTTTGCAGCAAGCCACGGTCTCTTCATCATCATCCGGAAATTGAAAAAAAAAAGTGAGATTTTTTATGGGTTAACTTTCAGTTTGCAACAATAATATGATATCTAAATTGCAAAACTTACCTCATATCCAGCTTTGAATGAGAACTTGTCAACTAAATAAAGACAAATCGCCATTTGTCTCTTGAAAACATCGTTACAGGAAAGATTGTTTCTGTAACTTGTTCTGATGCACTTTATGTGATGCTACACATACAAAAAAAGAGATTTTGTTAGTTAGTAAGTAATACCACAAAGTTTAGTTACAAAACTTTAAAGATCAAACGACCAAAGAGGGGAAAAAAAACATACATTTAGATCCCTTGCAACCTCAAGTTTTTTTAGGAGGATGAGTTCATAAAAACTGATCTCCTTAGCATGTTCACCTTCAGTATATATGTAGTTGGTCACCTTCAAATTTAAAAAGCCTCTGACTTTCTTTGCCAATGTCTTCAGAACCGCCCATTTCAAAACCAGTTGAAGAGAGCTCAGAAATCAAGGAAGAACAGGCAGTCTCTACCCATTGAGAAGAGAACATTTCAGTGTTTTGGGTTTCCACTGTGGTTGTGACTTTTATTTCAATTGGTACTTCATGACGTTTGCACTATGCAACACTTATCCTAGGAAAAATCCTTCTCATTAACTAAAACATGTTATATCTTAATCATTTTATATATAGTACAAAAATAGGACAGATTATAGATAAGAATTTGACTTTCCAAGAAAAATATTAACCTATATTAATGAGTAAAATATGAGAATTTCATAAAAAGAAAAAAATATTAAATGAAAATAAGATTTTAACCAATATAACCAAATGTTTTACATAAAAGCAAGAACAACATCAAAGCAAGAACAACATCAAAGCTCATTACTTGAAAAGCAAGAACAACATCAAAGCTCAGTACTTGAAAAGCAAGAACAACATCAAAGCTCAGTACTTGAAAAGCAAGAACAGCATCAAAGCAAGAACAACATCAAAGCTCAGTACTTGAACTCTGACTCTCCCTTCATCACCCAAGGGAATTTCTCTATAAGAGACTCATTAAGTACCTAGAACAAGAAACAAGAGTTGATAAAAGGATAACAGGTTTCTTTGTTTCAAAGGAGAAACATCAGTGATTTTTAAGAATCTTACATTTTCAGTTGGTACTTGATTACGCTTTTACCAAGCAATCGTGATCCTAGGATCAATGAAATTTGAAGAGTCATGGACCTTGGTATTTTTAAGGATAACAAGTTTCTTTGTTTCAAAAGGGAAACATCAGTGATTTTTAAGAATCTTACCTTTTCAGTTGGTACTTGATTACGCTTTTACCAAGCAATCGTGATCCTAGGATCCATGAAATTTGAAGAGTCATGGACCTTGGTATGAAATTCAAAATGCATCTGTCTCTCCATCTGGTTGATCTTCAAATTGGTTTGCTGAATCTTCTTCCGCCACCTGCAAATTGTAAAGGATATGTATAAGTATATCGATAGTGAGAGATGTATAAGTATTTATACACAGAAAATGTGAGATTTTAGTCTATCTAGAACTAATAGATAGAACCAAAGTCTATTCTGAGAGATTATCTAAACAGCATTATCCTAACACAAATAATTAAGGTGAGATATATTCAGAAGTAAAGAGTTATCTTACGCTTTTGGATTGAGGTTTCTAGCCTTCTCTCCACCTGAACCTGTTTCGAGTTCTTTAAGAACCTCCTAAGGAATTAAAAACAAAACAAAATTTTAGACAAAGGCATAAAATAAGTCGAGTAGAGAACTCCCCAGAATGTGACTCAAAGCTTATATACCTCGAGTTTTTCTAGTTGTGGAGACTTTGAAATAGCACAAAGAAGATTACACACGATCGCAGCCTTCTTGGTTGCTTGATACTATAGTAGCACTTTCTGATTGACATCAGCATCTCCCATCTCTTCACTCAACTAGAGTTACACAAATCAAAACAGAATATCAAAACAGAATTGTTTTACTCAAAAACCAAATACCCAATGATTTTTAAAACTTAAAATACCATTGTTTCCAAAGCAAGAGAAGCATTGTGTGTTCTAAACACCTCAGGTGTGAGACCAGGTAAAAGCTCCTCAAGATATGCCATGAGCTTGCTTGTGAAAGAGATCATCAGTTTTTGTTTTTCCTAGACAAAAAGAAAGGCAAGTTAGTTATTTGGTTCGTCACGAGTAAAACATAACCTGTGAAATAAAATAGCAAAGTCCAACTCACCATCTTGAAACTCTCCAATAGACTTATAAACAAGTGGCTCAACTTGGAGGGTGTTAAAGTACCATAATATCACGGCCCAATCCGCACAACATCTATTTGGGCCTGACCAGCGAGTAACTACATGAGGTTATCAACTTGGACGACTTTGGAAGGACTTCTAGAAGATTTGATGGCATTTATAAGGATAGAAGCAATCCCTAAGAATCTGCTTAGTCAACCCATCAATCCCTACAAATCCGCCCTCATTAGTTACTGATTTTGTAATTAAGGCCATATCTTCAATATTGGCCCTTAGATCAAGTTGATCCTCACCATCCATCTTGGAGGTGTTTTTGTATAAATAGGGGTGGGATCCCTCATTTGTAATCATCCACTCATTCTTGAATAAGAGAGCTATTCAAGCATTTTCCTTCTTTCTTTCAAAGTTCTTTCCTAAAGAGTTAGGTTTTTCTTTGTGAGACAGGCTGCCTAGTCTATTTGCAGAGGCAAAGAGAGGCTAGAGCCGTACGGAATTGATCCCAAATATCAAGTCCGTGACACGTGGTATCAGAGCTGAGTTCCGTTCAAAGGCCGAGCAATGTCAAACACCGAGGATATTCTCAGGAGTACCGATGGAGGCGAAGACCAGGACGGCCTTGAGAATATTACCAGGAGGAAGCGCGACAGGAGCAAGGTCCGTGATGAGGTCGGGGCTATGGGGATAGCCATTACCGATATGGGTGAACGACTAGAGCGAGTCGAACACTCGACTTCTGAACTCGAGAACGCACTGTTCAACGAGATGGCAGAAGTCAAGAATGACTTGGGTGGGATCGAGGGGCGATTCACCAGGTTGGAGGAGACAGTGATGGGGGCGGTCCAGTCGTTGAAGGTGAGCATCGAGGGGATGCAAGAAGATCTCGCATTGTGCAAGAAGGCAGTTGCCAATGGAGGTACCAACAACCCCGGGACGGGAAGAGTGGATTTCCCGAGACCCTCCCGTTTTGATGGCTCAAGGGATGCTAAGGAAGTTGAGAACTTCATGTGGCAAATGGAGCAGTACTTTGATAATCTTGGTCTTACCGATGAGTTGGCAAAGATCAAGGCGGCCACATCGTACCTCACGGATACGGCCACGCTGTGGTGGCGGAGGCACCACAGTGACATTGAGAGGGGCACATGCCGGATGGACACGTGGGAGGAGTTTAAGAAAGAACTCAAACGGAAGTTCTATCCGGAGAATGTTGTCTATGAGGCTTGGAGGAAGCTGAGGGAACTCCGACAAAAGGGTAAGATCCGCGACTATGTCAAGGATTTTACTACCCTTTCTCTGCAGATCCCAAATCTGTCCGACCAGGACTTAGTGTTCCATTTCGTGGATGGACTCCAAGGATGGGCCAAACAGGAGCTACAGCGGCGTGGAGTGAACTCGGTGGATGAAGCCATTGCCGTGGCCGAGTCTCTTTCGGATTTCTATGACCAAAACCAGTCAGAGAATTCCAGGAGGAAAGAGAAGGTAGCTCCACGGTCCGAGGGGGAAAAGCGAGAGCAGGCGGCTCCACCTTATCCTCGGAGCCAAGGGAGGAACTCAGGACGTGAGGAGTATGAAGCAAAGAAGCGTACCTTTGTTCCAAGAGGGGGATGTTATGTGTGCAAGGGAGTGCTCGAAGCTTGGTTCCTTGTCCGCACTGCTGGAGCAAAGAGAAGCCGAATCCCATGAGGAGGAGGCCAGGATGATGGGATCTCTTCAACTTCTCAACGTCCTTAAGACAACTCCCATGTCTAAGGTCATGAGTAAGGGGCTGATGTACGTAGAAGTTCTCATCAATGGGCAACCAACACAGGCTATGGTGGACACAAGCGCAATCTATAATTTTATGTCTAATGAGGAGGCAAGGAGACTTGGTCTCACGTGGACCAAGAGAGAGGGTTGGCTTAAATCCGTCAATGCCAAAGCCAAACCACTACATGGAGTTGCCAGGAATGTCGAGCTCAGGGTGGGAGCTTGGACCGGTCCGGTGAACTTCTCAGTAGCACAGATGGACGACTTCAAGGTTGTGCTTGGGTTGGATTTCCAGAGGCAAGTCTCGGCGATCCCTATGCCCGCCCTTAGCACAGTGTGCATACTGGAGAAGGGGTCTCCATGTATGATCCCAACCGTAGATGCTCCCAAGGAGAGGAGGGATGAAGTTCGACATCTCTCAGCAATGCAACTCACCAAGGGGGTGAAGAAAGGGGAGGCAACATACCTTGCCTTCCTGAAGATGGATGACGACCTAGGAAAGGCAGGTACCACTCCTCCCATGATCGAGGCAGTTTTCGAGAGGAACAAAGACATGATACCACCTAAGCTGCCCAATGAGCTACCCCCAAGGAGGGAGGTAGATCACGAGATCGAGTTGGAAGTAGGAGCCAAGCCTCCCGCAATGGCACCATACCGCATGGCCCCATCCGAACTAGCGGAACTTCGGAAACAACTCGATGAACTACTTTCGACTGGGATGCTGAGACCGTCGAAAGCTCCTTATGGTGCACCGGTATTATTCCAAAAGAAGCAAGATGGCTCCTTACGGATGTGCGTGGACTACCAGGCACTTAACAAGGTAACTGTCAAAAACCGCTATCATATTCCCTTGATAGCGGATTTGTTTTACCGACTTGGTGGAGCCAAGGTGTACACAAAGATGGATCTCCAAAAGGGTTACTATCAGGTTCGTATAGCAGAAGGAGATGAGCCAAAAACGACCTGCATCACCCGATATGGTTCATTTGAGTGGCTAGTGATGCCCTTTGGTCTCGCCAACGCACCAGCCACATTCTGCACTCTCATGAACCAGATCTTCCAGTCCTACTTGGACCAGTTTGTTGTGGCTTACCTCGATGACATTGACATCTACTCCCGCTCCATGGAGAAACACGTGGGCCACTTGCAAACTGTCTTCCAGGTGTTGCGCGATAACCAGCTGTTCGTGAAGCGAGAGAAGTGCACATTTGCGACAGAAGAGGTGCAGTTCTTGGGCATGTTATCGGGTATGGGAAGATCAAGATGGACTATCCCAAAGTGACGGCTATCACTGAATGGGAAGCCCCAACCAAGGTAACAGATTTAAGGTCCTTTCTTGGCCTTGTTAACTATTACCGACGGTTCATCGAGGGTTACTCGAAGAAGGCTGCACCACTGACCGACCTTATCAAGAAGGAGAAGACATGGGACTGATCGGATCAGTGCAAGGAAGCATTTGAGGAGTTGAAGACTGCGGTGAGCCAAGAACCTGTTCTTGCCTTACCTGACTTTGGTCTTCCATTCGAGGTACAAACCGATGCTTCTGATTTTGCCATTGGTAGAGTCTTGATACAAGAAGGACATCCCATAGCCTTTGAAAGTCGTAAACTGAATGACACTGAAAAGCGCTACACAGTCCAAGAGAAGGAGATGACGGTTGTGGTTCACTGTTTACGAGTTTGGCGACACTACCTCTTGGGATCTCCATTCCAAGTCAAGACAGACAATGTGGCAACGAGTTACTTCCAGACCCAGAAGAAGTTATCCCCAAAGCAGGCTCGATGGCAGGACTTCTTGGCAGAGTTTGACTATACACTGGAGTTCAAGCCCGGGAAGGCGAATGTCGTAGCCGATGCACTGAGTCGGAAGGCTGAACTTGCCGCAATCAGCCAAGTTGTGGGGACAATCGTGACTCGAATCCGGGAGGGATTAAGTCAAGATTCCACTGCCAAAGAGTTGGTGAAGTTGGCAGAGGAAGGCAAGACTTCCCGATTCTGGGTGGAAGACGGGCTATTATACACAAAGGAGAGACGCCTTTATGTGCTGAAATCAGGGAGCTTGCAACGGGATATTATCTAGGAGTGTCACGATACCCGATGGGCGGGACATCCAAGGCAGAAGCAGACCATGACACTTGTAGAGACCGCATATTTTTGGCCACAGATGCGGGATACGGTGGAACTCTATGTCAAGACTTGTCTTGTGTGTCAACAAGACAAGCCAGAGACCAAACAATCTGCCGGATTATTGGAGCCACTTCCCATACCAGACCGACCATGGGACTTGGTCTCCCTAGACTTCATCAGCGCTTTACCAAAGTCTGAGGGATGTGGGTCAATTTTGGTGGTCATTGATCGGTTCTCGAAGTATGGGACGTTCATAGCTTGTCCAAGAGACTGCACAGCAGAAGAAGCTGCGAGAGCCTTCTTCAAGAACGTAGTTAAACTCTGGGGACTTCCAAGGAACATCGTGAGTGACCGAGATCCACGATTTACTGGGAAGTTATGGACCGAGTTATTCAAGAATCTCGGGACCGGACTTAGCTTCTCAACAAGCTTCCACCCACAGACAGATGGTCAGACGGAGATGGTGAATTCTTTGTTGGAATGCTATCTTCGGCACTTTGTCAGTGCAAATCAACGGGACTGGGCCAAGTTGTTGGACATCGCCCAGTTTTCCTACAACTTACAGCGAAGCGAGGCAACAGGCAAGAGTGCCTTCGAACTCGCAACCAGACAACAACCGTCAACTCCCCATACCTTGGCCACACCAGCAGTCGAGTCACGAGGCCCTGGAGCGGCCAAGATGGTTAGGACATGGGAAGATCATGCTGACCTTGCGCGGGTCTGCTTGGAGAAGTCCCGCAAACGGATGAAGAAATAGGCTGACAAGAAAAGGCGGTCTTTGGAGTTTACAGTTGGAGATCGAGTACTTGTGAAGCTCCTCCCCCAACAATTCAAGGTGTTTCGGAGTCTCCACAAAGGACTGATCCGCAAATATGAGGGACCTTTCGAGGTCATTGCCAAGGTGGGCAAGGTTTCTTACAAGTTGGATCTTCCCTCAACCTTGAAGATTCATCCAGTTTTCCACGTGAGTATGCTCAAACTGTACCATGGAGACGATACAGATCAAGGCCGGGGTCAGTCAACTCG